CATCTTAGAAGTCATATCCTAGATGAAGACAGCATCTGAGGAAAAAGGAGAGATGAAGACCGCATCTCGCAAAGGATAAGATGAAGACCGCATCTTAGAAGTCACATCCTAGATGAAGACAGCATCTGAGGAAGAAGGAGAGATGAAGACCGCATCTCGTAAAGGATAGATGAAGACCACATCTTAGAAGTCACATCCTAGATGAAGACTGCATTTGAGGAAAAAGGAGAGATGAAGACTACATCTCGCAAAGGATAAGATGAAGATCGCATCTCGTAAAGGATAAGATGAAGACCGCATCTCGCAAAGGATAAGATGAAGACCGCATCTCGCAAAGGATAAGATGAAGACCGCATCTCGCAAAGGATAAGATAAAGACCGCATCTTAGAAGTCACATCCTAGATGAAGACAACATCTAAAGAAGAAGGAGAGATGAAGATCGCATCTCATAAAGGATAAGATGAAGACTGCATCTTAGAAGTCACATCCTAGATGGAAACCGTATTTGAGGAAGAAGGAGAGATGAAGACCGCATCTCGCAAAGGATAAGATGAAGACCATATCTTAGAAGTCACATCTCTTAGAAGTCGCATCCTAGATGAAGACTACATCTGAGGAAGAAGGAGAGATGAAGACAACATCTTGCAAAAGATAAGATGAAGACAGCATCTTAGAAGTCACATCCTAAAGGAAGACTGCATCTTAAGAAAAAGAGGAGATGAAGATTGCATCTTGCAAAAGAAAAGATGAAGACTGCAACTTTCACTTATACATTGTTTTCAAAGCTTAAAATTGGGTTATTCTTTTATTCTTTACTTTTCCTTTTACAAAAGAAAAGTAAAGAGGGGGCAACTGTCATAACCCAATTTTAATTGGGGCTAAGTGATAAAAGTAAAAGCTCATGGACCATTTTTTGCAAAAAGTGTGAAGCTTGAAGGGTTGAGAGGAGAAACTAGCAAAACAACATCATTTTGCTTGTAAGCTGAAATAAAGGTTGAAAACCCTAGCCACCCAAACCTGTTTCTTTCTTTGCTCTGTTGCCAGCCCCTCTCAAAACAGAAAAATCACAAAAAGTTTCTTGACTTATCCCTAAATCTACTCAAGTTTTGAAGAAATTTATGGAGATTGAAAGTCATCAACAAGAGGCGCAAAAGAAGAGTTCGAAATTGATTCAAAGAAGGGAGTTCTAAGCATAGAAGGTATGAATTGATGAGCTAAATTTATATACATATTAATAGGGAATTTTTACTTTGATATTATTGATATTTGGATGAGTTTTATGGGATTTTATTTGATTTTACATGGTTTCCATTTTTTGTGTAGGAAAAGATTTAATTGGAAGAAATCATACTTTTTAGAAGTAAATTGAAGAGATCAAAGACTTGAGGATCAACTTTTGCAGAATCCAGAAGTCAGGAACCAATTCTGTTATTTTACCATTGAAGAAATTGCAAAAGGAGGGAAAAAACCCGACACGGGTGTAGTGTCGACACATGATCGGGGTGTCAACACCATGCGTTAAAAGTCCAAAATCAGATTCTGTTTCCTATTTTGTATCAACACGTAATCCGAAGTGTCAGCACCACGCGATCAGCATCTAAAATTCAGTTTCCTATTTCTGTTCCAAGTCCTACTTCTATTTCAATTAGGGTTTCTAAAATCCTATAAATACCCATCCAAATTCAGAATTAGGAGAGTTTTGGGAGGCTGGTGGCAGCCCTCTTTTGAATATTCTTGAAGATCAAGAGAAAAGATTCAACAATAGAAGATCAAGGAGTTCGATTTCCTCAAATTGGGTTTTGTTTTTCTTTGGGTTTTTATCTATTGTTTGATATTTGAATGTTTATAACTTTGATTTCATATTTTATTATTTTTATTATGAACTTATTTATTTTATTAAGGCTATGATGTAGCCTAATCAATTCAATATAGATTTTGTGATTTTATACTTTCAATTAAAGTTATTCGCGTGAGGAGTTTATATTATTGAACTTAATGCATTGGAAGTCTGATCACTTTTCAATTGATTTAGTGATTTATGCATGAACTTGAGAAAGAATTGTATAGATTAGACCAATAATAATATAAACCATGTGCTAGACTATGAGACCGAGAGGTAATTAGCTCACATGTGGTAGTGGAGGAAGAGAAGAGAGTTAGGAGCTCCCCCTTCTTAAGCTAGAGGTTTCCATAGAATTTAATGCTCATTAGTTGGTTTAAAATTACATAGAGATATGATTAATTTAACAAACTAGTGAAGGATTAACTTGACTTGAGAAAGCTAGTTAATTAATTTAGAGAAATCCGTCATCACATGCAATAACACTCAATAAATTGGTTTTGAAAGTATATTAATCCAGAATTTATATTGATTGATTATTGTGAAATCAATGCCTTAGTGCCTCCTATCTTGGTTAGGTTTATTTGTTTTTTTTTT